AATGTCCAACCTGAAGTTCATTTAGGGATTTAAACAAACTCCGGTAATTCTGTCACAGATCAAGGAATATTATCCGTGTGTGTATATATGTACGTCTTTATGTATAATCTTTGATAATGAACACAAAGTGTGTTCTGTGACGTTGCATCAGAATTTCAGGGTCTTATTTCTGAGGTCATTCTTAGTCAGAAATACGTATGGACACAGATTAGATATTTCATGGCTTCGAAGTTATCGATATTTTAAATTCACGATGATTTTAATTTTAACCTTACGTAACATTAGGGAAGTTTATGCGTCTTAAATGATATAAAAAACTATTATAGACGTCTTCAAGGGTGACGGGGTACCCCTTCCTATTCCAATCGCCTGAATGAAAAGTTCTCTGACCGATGGATTGGTCATGGTGGTCCAATGAATTGGCCACTCCCCCTAGATTTTCTTTGAAAATCGTTTTGTATGAAGACAATATAAACAGAAGAGTTGAATTACACAATCGAATTTTTCAATGCTCCAAGACGCGTGACGTTTTAGTTTAAAATGAATCGGATGTGATATTTGTGATTGCAAATGACCTCAGTAAAGATCATGACGCTGACATGAAGCTACTAGAGACTGTAAAATAAATAAATAAAACTTGAAATACGAAAAAGGACGAATGAAAAAAAGAAATTGTTCTGTAGAACCAAGACAGAACAATGTTTCTCTCATGGTGAAGTCGAAACTCGTCTAAAAAATAGACTATTTTAAATTTTGTTCGTATTCAAATAAAACATAATTCATCTCCATTACTATTATAAACTGATTGATGTTATTTAAAATATTATTGTTTATTCTTAGAACCACGTCATCCACAAATATTTTAAATGTTAAAATAGATGGTATAAATAGTTACCACTGGTTTTTGAGTGGTGTAGTGTCAAACCGATGCCCTTTGGTTACGCGGAATATTAATTCAGCATCACAGCGTGGTTGAAGACAGCCTTCGTGTTTTTCTTAGTAAGTTGTAACTTATGTTGCTAGGTGGAAGCACTGTACGTCACTCATTGTTTCCGCCAGCTGGTTGAGACAGACGAGAAACCTTGAAAACTGAGCAATATGGCGAAACAGAGGAGGCGTTGTCCTGTCGCTGTTTGGTACAGACAGTTTCATTGAACCCACGTGATGATATCAGACTAATATTTCATCAGACAACCTGTGGGATACATCTTATTTCTAACTTCACACTCGACTTTACTGTCAATATCGTAGAAACTATTCAGTTCACTTAGTATTTATAAAACGAAATCGGGAGTCATGGAATTTGAAATTGGATTTCTGGATAGGAGATTTCCGGGCGAAACATTGAACCATGGACGTCCCGAATAGCAAGCAGGAGACCCCATTCATGAGGTTTTCACAGAAATCCAGACGTGTACGCGGTAATACTTCAGTTCAGACTGAAGATGAACAAAGGTTATTGAAACAGAGGGCTCTTAACTACAGAGTTTGCCGCCAGAGGGTGGGAGGTGTCTTCGTCAGACAATAGCGACACCACTCGCATCATAAAACAACAGTAAACATTACGACTGAATAAATCTACAAGATAACTGAAATATGCTCTCTTACCTACGGCTGTAAATACGAATTATCTTGGTCTGCTGTTACAATTAATGATATCAGATGGTCGCAGAAGGCTTAATTATGGATAACCTTGCATCCTACATACACGGACACACTTGGTGCCTTGCTTTAAGGTTACTGAACTATTCTAACTTCACGCCTCGTCCACGCTATCCTTAGTAGATATTAGAATAAAATATTTTACAAGGAGCGGAATAAAAACCACGGCCGCCCAGCACCTAGTGAGTCACTTTCACCTACAGAATCTTTGCCCAAATAAATTTTACACGTAACTTACACACAAATTATCATCATTATTATTTTTGTTTCTTATTGATAAAGGCTAAATAAAATGTCTTTACATAATGGATACTGTTGGTATCCGTGTGCCTACAAGGGAAATTATATTTTCTACTTTCAGCGTAAGCAATTATTAAAAATACATAAATTGTTTACCTATTTAGTAAGAGGAATTTTCCTTTTGTAAATATTTTCTCAATTCCTTTAGTTTTACACGTTTTGTTTCTTTTTATTATATTTTATTATTGTTGTCTATATTTATTGGTATTTGGCTGTAATGGTTCTTGGCTATTAGCGAACGCCTTAATAAATTAATTTGATATAATTATTACAAATTTATCTTTACGACATTTTATGGGGAATCTGTTAAACCAGACGTGGGTAAAAATCAAAATAAGAATAATAGTAATAAATCATGGACATGTGAAGCCCAAAACGACTACTGTTGTTACAGAAAACTGAAAATGTAGTTCTAATAAACATTTTCCAAATAGATTTTCAGCTAAACATATTTTGTTTTTATCTACGCACTTTCTTGGTAAATTCAATTTGCTAAATTTTGAAGTAGTTACGCTTTCTTGCCAAGAGATGGCACGGCACGTTTATTTCTAATGATCATGCCTCATGTCAGATATATCAGACCGATTTGAGACCTATATATTTCATTCCGATTAATAAAGTATCAACAGGTCGTTGAAATTAAGCCTCTTAAGTACGTATGAATTCACAGCGTATTAGTAATTAAATTAATATGAACACTAGTCCACAAGTTCCGTACTGATACCGGAAAAGTGGAAAACATAACCTAAAATACAACATAGAAACATGTAACTTGTGTACGTCGTGCTGCAGAACTCACCAGAATACGTCATAGCTCACGCACAACACGAAAGCGTTACACTGCGCATGGGCAGAGCTGATAGACAGAAAACTAGTTCCGTCCTGTCTCGTTTGGGCGAGGTCGCTGAGGTGCATAACAATGAGTGAATTAACACCAAGACAATGAGGGTTGAAAGGGTACACAATACACAAATATGTAGCAGCAGAAACCATTATACGTCCTTTCTCGCTTTCATATAAATGCAGTATGGAAACTCTACACCCGCCATCTTGCGGCAACAACTCCAATCTATCTGCTTTTTGAAGGTTATGTAGTCAGACGATAAACTACTGCAACTTTTTGTCTTATAAATAAAACAAGTTTTCGATAGGGACATCTACATTATTTTTCATCGTATTGATTCTTTGTAAATAAACCTGGTTCTTCACTTTTTATAGGTTTTTCTTCTGTTAAACAATTTGTCACCTCAAACCATTTAGTCGAAGTCGAGTGTCATTGGATCATCTTTGTCGTAATTATTACTACGGTTTTCAAATATAGAAATTTATTTTATATAAATTTCTTAAATTAATTATTCGGTTTTTGTCCTTCTAATCACAATTATATTTAAAATTTACAAATAAGATAATTAAAATATTATTTTATGTTCCACATCGAATAATCGATTTACATTTGGAACATTTTTACAACATGTTTCGGTTTCATCGAACCATCTTCAGGTGTAAAATTATATCAACAAACTTAAAACTCAATTACAATTTCTGTTGTGTAGCTTTTT